TAATCATATAGCCAAAAAAATGACATTTCATAAATGAAACAATGAATTTCATTGCAAGATCCACCTATGTCTGTATGACTATTAATTGAAAACTTTAAAATCATATTGTTCATCCTGTAAAACTATGAATTAAATGAATTGGAATTAATTGTTATTGTGAAAAAGAACTGAAATAATAATTTTCTTCAAATCAAATGTAATTTATTTGTCAACATTATTGCGCCTCATTTCAGTCGATTTTCGTTCACTTCTTTCTTAAAATTTGGAGGTGTTGTGATGAATGAATGAAAAAATGAGAAAAAAAAATAATTTCGACATACCAAAAAAAAAAAAGCTTTTTCTATTTTAATTGAAAAACTTTAGAATTTAAATAAAGTAAAACCAAAAAAAAATTTTCAAAATTTTACGTACATACATACATATATGTAAATATATGTACTTGAAAATGATATAAAATAATTTCCATTTCATTCTCAGACAATTTGAAATAAAATATACTTACATTGTACATAAATACATACATACTTATATTTACAATATTTGCGAAAATTTCATTTAAAATAATTCACTTTTTATAAATTGTCTACATACAAAAACATATTGTGAACTAAAAGAGCATTATCTTATGCCTATTTAATGTTTGATATTAATGTATTACAAATATGTATGGTATGAACTATATATACACATACTATGTTTGATATATGCATAACATTACCTATCCCACATTAATAGTTAATAATTTATTTTAATTTGTCACCAGAAGAAAAGAAAAAAAAAATCAAAATTTGAAAAATAAAATTTGATGTTTTCTTTTGTAATGTTGTTCTAGTTCTGTCATTAATATTTTTTAATCGCTATTTTATTTCAAAATTAAAAATTTTATGAGTAATGAAAACATTAATATCCTACATAAATATTATTAGGAATACACATTGGTATTTTTTGGTTATTTCGATCATATTTAAGTGGGCGACAAAGTGACGAATCAAACAAAATCATACATATGAGATGAAGAAAAATAAAAGTATTTATGATGGATTACTTATGCAGCATGAATGTAAACATTTAACACCTGACAATTCTTAATTGTGAATGAAAATTAATCTGTGTTTCAGAATATATGCATATATTATGCTTAGTATGTATGTGCATTTGTATATATTGATGCAAATAAAGTATTATGTTTGATTGCCAATTTTGTATTAAAAAATTTTGTTCGTTTTTAATTATTTTTAATAGCATTGCATGTTAATTTTGATTTTAAAATAAAGTTGGATCAAACCAATGGTTTGTGAAGAAGTACTTTTTGCTTGAACAAATTAAAAAACTGTTTTTTATCAGAATCTACTACATTACAGTTAAAGTTACTTTAATCATATACGTTATCATAAAGGTTGTAATCGACCGGATTAAGTAACGAATTTCGTGAAGCATGCCGCGCTACCTTCCTGTGTTTGAAAAATCTAAAAAGTGTTTGTGATTTCGTCACAATAAATAATCAAAAAATGGTATTTTTTAAGCTGCTATAATTTTTTATTTGCACGAACGAAGGAACTGAGTGAAACTAATAAATATTTTATTTTCAAATTGTTTTCGAAAAGTGCTAAAAATTAATATTGCACAAAAAGAGTTGGAGTTGATGACGTCTAAAAGCATTCAATAAAAAAATATGAATATTCTGAAGAAGAACTCAAACAGGAAAATTCCGTGAAATTAATTTTGTATAATTAAAATTAGATTTTTATTAAAAATTTTTTATAAAATTTTTTTTTTTTATTCACTTTCAAACATTTTAAATGTTATTCAATTAATTTCTGAGCACTTAAGACTTTCACATAAACAAATTTTATTTTAAATAAATTCGAGTGCTGGTGCTCTTAACCAGCACTTGTGTTTGTGACTTCATTTACGATTATTTATAAATTATTCTAAAGAATTTTTATATATATACCAAAAATGGCCGATTTATAAAAAACAAAAAATTAAATTGACTCTTAAAAAAGTTTCAATCAATTTATTTCAAATCTGTTACAATTTAATTTTAATTCATAAAATAAAAAAAGTAAAAAACATGAAAATGAAACCGATATTGTCCCCATTTAATGATGATGTTTTTAAGTAGTTTAATAGTTTTAAAGTTTTTCTAATTAAATTAAATATCATTCAAATGTATTAAAGTATGTTTTTTTTTTAAATTAAGAAAATTTTGAGGTTATTGGAACAATTTCTGAGTAATGAAGAAATGTACTTACAGACAAATTGAGAATTTTCATATTGTAATTTGTAAGTTAACAAAAATATAAAATATTTTCGTTTCGATATTGTTTTAGTTTAAAAATCGAAGTTAGCCATATTATGTCTGATCTCCGAAATCGATATTAATTTTGACATTCTTAATTCAGAAGTACAATATTGAGAATATTTTATTAGATTATAAAGATTGATAAACTAGTTCAATGTTCTTAAATTCATCTTAATCATAATTAAATACAGACGCGTATTCATTTAATTACAAATTAATTAAATTTTTTTTTGTGTAAATATATAGTTACATATAATTAAGCCAATTATACATTTAAGTTTCAATAATTTTCTAGTTTTTGCGAAAGGAAAAAATCAAAATCGATTCTATACTAAAGATCGAATAGTAAGTAATTTGACAATATGAGTGACATACTAATAGAAACTATTGCTATAGGATTTGACAATAAATAAATTTTTGTGAAATTCTATAAAGGAATAATAACATTTTTGGTAATCAGTATAAAATTGTAAAAGCTAAATAAAACCAAATACATATATAAAAAAACATTTTTTATATATTTAATATAAAATACAACAATTTTTTATTAAAATTAAATCAAATAATAGATTGTGTAGGTTGGACATTTCAATTAAATCGAAGAAAAAAAAAATTATATAGTGCAATTAACATTTAATTTGTTTTTTTTTTCTATTTATATTATGACATAAGTAAATATTTTTAGAAAATATATACATACACACTTGTAGGAATTTTATAAACGAAACATATGCCTGCTAATAATGTCGATATTAACGCAAATTTATCTCATGTAGTTATCATACAGGGATGTTCTGCTAGATCATTACTCATTAGCTTTAGAATCCGCATATAATTAGGCCATCATCCAGCATATACATAATTTGGGTACAGAAATATTCATGATTTTCATTTTAATCATAAAGTATATAAATGTTAAAACAGAAGCAAAGTCCAGAACCTTATGTTTCAAAACAATGAAGACGGCTATGTTGTCAAAATTAAAACAGTAACAAATATTTTTATAATAAATTGTACTTATGTACAAAGTCGATTGAATAAAATAGTAAAAAAAATAAAATCTTTAAAGGTTAAAAACAGGGGATATTTTTATTCTCATAAAACGACTCGTATGCACCACTGTTTTTGAGTTCATATTTGTACATATAAAATATATATAAGTGTGTATCTTCATTAAAAAATAAATTTAAGATTTTAGTACACAGAATATAGCAAAAGTAATGAGTATAACAAGTTTCAATACCAAAATATTATAAATATTTTGAAAATAAATTTCAAAATTTTTTTTTCAAGTAAATGCTTGGATTTTTTTTTTTTCAAATTCCCTGGGTTTATTGAAATATTTTTTAAAAAAATTTTGCACCTACAGGTAAATTTTAATTTTTTTTATGCCAATTTTTTTAAAAAAAAAGTATAGATTTTAATTTATGTACGTATGTAAATAAATTTTTATAAATAATATACATATATCGAAATTAATAAAGAAAACTTTTTTATTAAATTCTCAATAAAATATTTACACGTGTTTGTAAAATTATTCGATGGATGTGTGGAATGGATCGCTCTAAATTTCGCGCTGTAATTGAAAGCGCACGAAAGTAGTCTGCAATCAAGTGTCAAATAATTTTAAAATATATTGCTGATTTGATATTGCACCAATTTTAGAACGAGATAATCTTTCACTTCGAATGTAGTGCAAAATTATACGAAATAAAAATTAAACCTCACTAATTAAAAAATAAATTGTTGCAAATTTTGGAAATCAGTAATTATCACATCATCTCCAAAATTTATTACACACAAAGTAAATAGGCTCCAAAAAAAAAAATAATGTAAAAATGTTATACATACAATAATATATTCAATATAATAAATTGTACAGGGCTCATTAAAATTTGTGTACTCGTACTTGCGATGTACATGTATACAGAGATAGTGTTGATAAATTGAAATAAAAAATTTAAAAAAAGAAAATATGTGTGTATTCGCATAGGGTTATTTTTCATTCAATTTGAATAGCTTTCGTTTCTAATTTAATTTAGTTTCCTATCTTTTAATTAAAAAATTACTCAAAAATGTGCCGTCAACATTTCATTCCTTGGTGTGTAGGAAATCATGATATTTATTTGTTTCCGTAAATATGATATTCATATACAAATTTATATATACCTACATGTATTTTTTGTAATTGTTATACAGAGGGTGAAAAGTGTAAGAATTTATTTTAAAATGTTTAGTATGAAAATGAACGGAAATATAAGTGAGAATATTAATGTTTTTACATATTCACACAGAAATCAACTAAATTTTTCCTTCATACAAGGAAATATTCACATGTGCTTCCAAATTAAATCAAATTTTTAAAATTTGCAACCTAATCACATGCAAATAATTTTGTTGATATAAGAATTATTAGGCTTTACTTAAATTGTAAGATAAAATTCATTGATTAAAGTCATTCATAATAAGATTTATCTAAGATAGTCTAAAAACTGTACGTACACTTAATACTTATAGATTTTGTAAAACATTTAATAATTTAATTTTTAGGGTTTCTTTCACAGAAATTCAAGCTTAATTCTTCCAAAAAAATGTCATCAAATTAATCAAATTTGAATTTTAAATGTTTTTAATTTTAAATTTTATATTGTCAAATAAATAATTCGTTTTTTTTTATTGTTATTATCTATTTTAGAAATGAGTAAATCAACACATCACATAAAGCAACAGCAACAAATGATGTTGGATGAGACAGCATCAATGGTCGCAGAAATGTTTGATCTCTTTTGTGGGGCGACAACAATGAGACAAATTTTGGGTCTTTATCGTAATATTTGTGATTCATTAAATTTAAGGCCAGGTCCGTTAAATGATTTTTATCCAAAATTAAAATCAAAAATACGAAGTTGGAAAGCTCAAGCTCTATGGAAAAAATTTGATACAAGAGCACAACATAGGGTATATTGTAAAGGAACTGCATGTAATGGATCAAGAGTACTTGTAATAGGAGCTGGTCCATGTGGTTTACGTACAGCTATTGAAGCTCAATTAATGGGAGCTAAAGTTGTTGTTGTAGAAAAAAGAGATCGAATATCACGTAATAATGTAGTTCATTTGTGGCCTTTCGTTATTACTGATTTAAGGAATTTGGGTGCGAAAAAATTTTATGGAAAATTTTGTGCCGGTTCCATAGATCATATATCAATTAGACAATTACAATGTATACTATTAAAAGTAGCTTTATTACTTGGTGTTGAAATACATGAAGGTGTTTCATTTATAAATATTATTGAACCATCAGATGGTTTAGGTTGGCGTGCCGATGTATCACCAGAAGATCATGCAGTATCACATTATGAATTTGATGTGTTAATTGGTGCTGATGGTAAACGAAATACATTAGAAGGTTTCAAACGTAAAGAATTTCGTGGTAAATTAGCAATAGCAATAACAGCGAATTTTATTAATAAAAAAACTGAGGCTGAAGCAAGAGCTGAAGAAATAAGTGGCGTCGCTTTTATTTTTAATCAATCATTTTTTAAAGAATTATACCAAACTACAGGAATAGATTTAGAAAATATAGTATATTATAAAGATGAAACACATTATTTTGTAATGACTGCAAAAAAACATAGTTTAATTGATAAAGGTGTTATAATGCAGGATTACATTGATCCAGCTGAATTATTAGCATCATCGAATGTAAATACAGAAAGATTGTTAGATTATGCACGTGAGGCTGCCGAATTTTCAACAAAATATCAAATGCCAAATTTAGAATTTGCTGTGAATCATTATGGTAAACCAGATGTTGCAATGTTCGATTTTACATCAATGTTTGCGGCAGAAGCATCATCAAGAGTTATAGTAAGTGTAGATTTAATTTGTTATTTTCTAATAGTATTGCAATTAATTTATGTACATATATATATTATAAATTATTTGTGGTTGCTTTAATATAAAATTTCAAATATTCGCAGGTAAGAAAAAATTATAGACTTCTTCAGTGTCTCGTTGGAGATAGTTTATTAGAACCCTTTTGGCCTACAGGATCTGGTTGTGCTAGAGGATTTTTATCAAGTATGGATGCAGCTTATATGGTTAAATTATGGGCAAATCCACGAAATAGTATATTAGGTGTTTTAGCACAACGTGAAAGTATATATAGGTAAAAAATTCTTATTTTTTTTTTAAATTTTTTATTAATTCTAATAGAAAAATAACATGGTATATTGCAGGCTTTTAGCTCAAACAACACCAGAAAATTTACAACGTGATATTGGGGCTTATACGGTAGATCCAACTTCCCGATATCCAAATTTAAATAAATCCATAGTAACTGTTTGCCAAGTAAAACATTTAATTGACACCGATGATAAGAATCTTTTAGAACAATCTCATATGGATGTAAACGCATTTGTACCTGCAGAAACACCAATGAGAAGAAAGAGACGTACTGGAGGTAAAAACAAAATTAAATTATAAATTTAAAAATATTTGCAATTAATAGAATATTTTTTTGTAGATACATTACCATTGAGTGCTGTTATATTACGGTGGATTAAAGCTCAATTGCATGCTCATGATTTTATGCAAAATATAACAGAAGTATCGGAATGTTTCACCAACGGAAAAATTTTATGCGCTTTAATTAACAGGTAAATTAAGCTTTTTGGAATTTAGGGGTTCTACTTTCCTGAAATAGGCTAATAGAGTTAATATAGCGTAAAGTTAGTCACTTATTACTCAAATTCCTTACTTTATATTTTTCAAAAAATTATTGCCAAATTTTTAATTTTTCTAATTTTATTCTGATCTTGTTTTAATATTTCCCTTTTTGTTATACAGATATCGTCCGGATTTAATTGATTTAAATTCAATTAAAGATCTAACAGCAATTGAATCAAATGAATTAGCATTTAAAATACTAGAAACTGATTTGAGTATACCTCGTGTCATGAGCTCAAAAGATTCAATTAATTTAGAGAATATTGATTCAAAAATATGGTTAAATTATTTGGAACAGATATGTGAAGTATTTCGCGGTGAAATACCACATGTCAAACATCCTAAATTGGTAAGAATCATATATATAAATTTAAATGACAAAGAATTTTGTTTTTGAATACAAAAATAAAGTTAAAATATGTATGAATGTATGAATGTATGTATGATATGATTTTATTTTTAGGATGTTTTTGAATTACGTGATAAATCTGCTAAAGATAAACAACAAGCAGCAGACTTTTCTCGTCTATTAAATCGTAACACAAAGAAAGCTAAATCACCTATGCAAGAGATTGATTTAACAGCAGGTGTCCATAGGCGTAGTATATTAGATGAAGAAAAAATAAGAAGACAACGGAAGTATGGAAGTGATTCACCTGGTGAGATTAAATGCATAAATTTATAATTGCTTTCAATTAATCAATTTTTTTTTTGCCTTCTCTCTAACTCTTTTTTAACATTTTGTGTTTATTTAGGTCAAATGGACACTTCAAGGCGTGCTAAAAAAAGAAGAAGTCAAGAAAAATCAGCTAATATAGTAAGTTTATCGAATATTATTGGTTCATGTAGTAAAAATTATTAAATATTACTCAGGTCACCATGGTAAATTGAAAATAAAAAAATAAAAATTAACGAAAAGAAATTTACTTATCTTAAATAATTGTGAATAACCAATTAATTGATTAATTAATTTTATGGTGTCGTATAAAAATTTGATTTTTAATTTATTGAGAATTTCTTTTAATTCATTTATTTATACAAATTGAGTTAATTTTAAGCATATTTAGTACCAGTACCATAAGCCATACTTACAACCACCAAATTAATGTTTTAGAGCATTATGCCTAATAAAGAAAATATTAGACAAAGAAGCCTAAAATCTTAGTTTCCTAAAATACTGAATAAACTTGAAGTTCTTAAAATAGTAAAAAGTTTTTCTGCTTATTTTCGAACATAAAAACTCTAAGTCTAACACTTATTCGAAAGTTAATACGAGTAATATATAAATATTCTTATATATATTTTCTCATATACTATTGTATCGTTGAATATTTCAGTATTTGAAAAATATTTTTAGATATTTTGTATAATTATACATAAATCACATTCTTTTGGAATTCTTATAATATTTTGAGAACATACGATAACGAAATAAATAATAAATATCAGCTCCGTCAAGCTTACCATCAATTAATTATTTTAAAAATAATATTTTTGTTTTCGTCTAACAAAATTTTTGTTTTTTTTAATTTTTATTTAAGTATATTTGAGTTTTAGTTAAAGTTATTTTAGTAAAATTATGAGTTTTAGAATTATATTTGTTATTATTACAAGAAATTTTTGAAATTATACAAATTTTGTACCCATATTTCTTCCTATTAATATTTCTTTATAATTTATAAACTTTGTTTAATTTATAAATTACAAAATTCAATTGGTTTTATAATAAGCCGATAAAAGACAATTTTTATAAATCCTTGAATTATTTTCAAAATACTTAAAACTTTAGTTAGAAAACGTTATTTAGAAGTTTCTTAATATTTTTTTTTCATAGGCCAATAGTTGGTTATAAATTATATGTAAACAAAAATTAAATATTACAAACTTGATATGTATTAAATTAAATTAGCTAGTATAAATCCAATTGAATCTTTTATTCGAATTTTTCATTTCAATTAATATCGAACTTACTAACGTTATCAAGTAACACTGTTCTTAATAAGAACTTTATTAGGAATCTGATTTATTTAATATTTTATTATTTTTCATTAATACATCATAATAATATTTTCATTCGCATTTTCATTTCTTCATTCATTGTTCCATGTTTTATTCATTTTATACTTCTATTTTAAATCATTATTTTATTTAAAAACAAAATATTATTTATTTTTGTTTCTTCTGACATAAATAATTGGTTAAATGTTGTTAATCGAAAATTTAGGAAGAAAGACAAGAGAGACTTAAAGATATTGAAGCAAATCGACTTGAACGTCAATCAAAACGAAAACAACAGCGTTACCAGCAAAATTTAAATTTTTACAAAAGTCTTCATATGCTTCAAGCCGGTCAGCTTTTAAGAGAAGGTCTAGAACAAAGACCATTTGAAGATTATTCAATTTATATGTATCGTCAAAATGCACCAGAATTTAATGAACGTGTTAAAGAACTTGAAAAAAAGTTATTGTATCCTGTAAGAAAAATCACAAAAAAAAAATAAGAAAAAAAAACAAAATTCGTGCAAAAAGAATAACCCCTGCAATTTGTTTCGACTAATTTTAATTGTCCTGTGTTTTTATTTTCATGTTTGTTGTTTTAATTGACTGTGTGATTTTTTTTAATTTTTTTAACAAAATGACCAATCAAGATTTTTGATAAAGCTATTAACAAATTTTAAAACATAAAGCATGTATGTACAGCTTTTAGGACCTGCTGTCTGTAGTTGCAAATGCTTTCGAAAATCTAATTATTCCACTATGTTTCTTTCACAATGTTTTTCAGGAAATTTAACCTTTTCTTTTTGTAACTTATTGCTACCGTTGGGATTATAGAATGTTTAAATCATAAATTTTATCCGTCAGAATATTTTGAATTATGTTCTGGGGGTAATACGAATGTATTGCCCTGATGCTATTGTCAGTTAGTTTTTGGAGTTTTTACTTTCTAAAAGTTATCTTCAGTGGATTTCTGTTTTACGATGTCATATTAACAAATAATTTCAGTTTTTCCTTTTTGATATTGTTCTATTTGTGAATATTTTTTTTGCGAATTAATTCATTAGAGTGCAAACTTTTTTGAATATTGCCATAAATTACAATTCTAAGCTAATATGCTTGGAAATGCTATTTTACTAATTAAGTTTTGATATAAGTTTACAATATTTGTTTTGCATCTTTCAACATCGCTAACCATTTATGATAGAAAAAGGCTTCTATAACAAGTTTAAATCAATGGAGTGCATTGATGATTATAACAATTAGTATAGCCTTAATATATAAGGAAAGAATATCTTTTAATTCACAAGATTCATAAAATTCATAAAATACATTAATTCTTATGTTATTTGAGTTTATATTTTTTAACTTACAATGTATACTTTAAAAAATTAATTTCATTTCCTTGATCACTATCAAGTGTTGAATTAATATTTATTAACTTAAAATTACTTTAGGAAAATTAAATTAATTTAATTTATTTATTGCCGTTTAAAAATTAGGATAGAGAACGTGGAATTCAATCAAGCTTTCCTCGAGGCGGCAACGATATTAATTTTAGTGATCGTATTAAATCAATGGAACAACAAATAACATCAAAAGGTTCAGGAGTTACAGAAAAAAAGCCTAAAGATTTATTGCGTGCTATTGGAAAAATTGATAGTAGTGATTGGCAAATACGTGAAATTGAGAAAAAAATGCAACAATCTAAAAAAACTGAAACAACAGGGAAGTCAAGAGAAAAAGTACCAAAATGGAGTAAGGAACAATTTTTGGATCGTCAGAATAAGATGTCAAAACCACCAAATGAAGGAGAAGAGGAAACTGATGAAAAATTTAAAGAAATTGATGAAACGTTAAAAAATCTAGATAAGCAATTAAAAGATGGCTCTTTACTGGAAATTGGTCAGCGTGGTAAAAACAAAGTTGCATCAATTGCAGGTCAATTTGGCAAAAAAGAAGATTCATCCGATGAAAAACAATCACAACCTGTTGCAAAATCTGTAATTTTTGCTAAAATAGATTCAAGTATAAAAGTTTAACTTATTTATTTTTTTTTAAGAATTCAAAAGTAGCTTTAGTGTTCAGTAAGCAAACAACATCAGAAAAGTGCCATTTCTGCAAACAAACAGTGTACTTAATGGAAAAAGTAACAACAGAAGGTCTTACGTTACATAGATCCTGCCTAAAATGCCATCACTGCCACACGAATTTACGATTAGGAGCTTATGCTTTTGATCGTGATGATCCTGATGGTCGATTCTATTGCACACAACATTTCAAATTGCCGGCTAAAGCTGTTCGGCCTGTTGTTAAAAAATCTAAACCAAAGGTATAATTGAAAAAATATATTCAAATTAATTTAATTATTTATATGTTGCTATTGTTTATCATTTTTAGAAACCATTAGCCGATACTACAAATATCGACAAAGATGATTTAAGACGCGGTCGTCCGGAAGCTGTTGCTCAATTAGATTTACTAGATCGAGGTCAAACACCAGAACGAATAGAATTCGAAAATGCTGATGCAATGTCTGATGGTGAACCATCCTTAGGCAATATAATGGATGAAAATGAATGGACTGATCGTAACTTTGTCAGCGATAGTGATGAATCAGAATCAGATTTATCCAGTTCCGATGAATCAGATGAGGAATCGGAATCTTTTGATGATCCCGATGAGGGATCACCCATCGCGCAAACTTTACAATTGGCAACCGATTGGATAGGTAAACAAAGATATAATAATGAAAGTGATGACAGTGACATCGACTTTTATGATTCCAGTGAAGGAATGTTAGGTACTAATGTATTAGAAAATTTCTTAATAATTTTACTTAATGATTGCAAAATTTTAAGATGATGACGATGCTGATAGTCAAACGGAAGGTGAAGAATTTAAAAAGGCTCGTGAAATGAGGAGGCAGGAAGTAAAGTTACTACCTTTGCCACCAAATTTGCCAACTGATACAGAAACAGAGGTAATAAATTTTTTTTCTACTCATTTTCTTCTGTACTGAAGGGACACAATTGATTGTGCCAATTTTTTGGTATATTTGTGATATTATTTTTTTTTTATTTTTATGACCAAAAGTCAGTAAAATTAAAAAAAAAATAAAAATGTATACTTAGAAAAAAAAAGTCAAAATGTACCATTAGCTAATAAAATTTAATACAAGTTAAGATAGTCTAGGATATCTATAAAATTTATTTTTTGGTGTTGGTTTTTATTTTTTTAATTAATTTATATTTCGTTGGTATACAATTTCAACTTCACAGGCAGTATCCAATGCAGATACCCAATTTTGTAGTAAGAATAATAGTAATGAAAATATAAATACTATTAATAACAATAATAGTAATATCAATAATGATAACAATAATAATACTGAAAATAATAATAATAATAATAATAATAATAATAATAATAATAATAATAATAATAATATTAATAATATTAATAATAATAATAATAATAAGAATAATAATTATAATAGTAATAATAAAAATAATGATGGCAATGTTAATGTAGAAAATATTGTCATCAGTAATTATTTAAATATGAATCAAGGGGATCAGGTTTTATGTAATTCCAACAATGAAAATGGAATTCAAGAAGGCAAAATTATAAATGATATTAATGATAACAGCAATACAGTTATTCGAGATGAAATAAGCTCTGCCAATGATCTTAATGAGTTAGACCTACTAAAAGAAATTGGAAAACTGCCGGAAAACATTAAGAACTTCTTAGAGAATTCACCTGAACTAAGTGGTGGAAACACTATTGAAAAGAGTGATAGAACTCTTCTCGCCAATAACTCAGCAGATCCTAATAGTTCTATTGCGTTGAGGAATGCTTTAAAAGTTTTAGAACGAGATATGGGGAGCAAATTAAATACTGGAATAGATTCTTTGAACGAAAAACTTTTTCAGCTTCAAAATATTGTAAAATTAAGTAAAGATGTTGAAAATATTGAAAAGGAAAATATTGTGAAAAACGATATTAAAAAGAAACTTACTTTGAAAGAAAAATGGCTGAGCGATTTCAATGCTAATGTTGCTTTAATGCAAAATTCAAAACATGACCAGAATAGCAAACATTCTCCAGATAATAAAGTTTCAAAAATTGATGAAATAAAAAATGAGTTAGCGCAAACACAAGAACCTAAAACAAAAAACAAAGAGGAAGCTATTAAAAACAAGCTTGATGAAATTCGTAGAGAAATTCAGGAAGAAAAACTCAAAGCGGCTGAAGAAGCTAAACTGAAATTATTAAAGGAAAAGGAAGCTAAACAAATAGACTTAGAGGAAGAAGATGTTTTTCTTGATTGCGTAGATAACGAAAAGTCTGATCGGGATTTTGAAAATATTTTAGAATCCATCGAAGAGCAAAGTGAATCGTCTAAGATAAATTTTAGACCAAAAATAAAAAATTTAAATGATCAATTAACATCTGTTCTTGTGGATGATAATGATAATAATAATGAAAAAGAAAGATATTTTGATTTTCAGCAACTAAAGAAAAAATTTAATAATCCAAAGTATGATCCTGATATTGGCCAGTTGTTATATGACATTGAAAATCGTTTTTCCCCACCAACGGAACGAAAAATGAGTAATGCATTAAAAACAATTGAAAATCAAAGTTTTTCTGATACTCGCGGGGCTATAGCTTCTCAAATAAGTACCCCTAAAATATCAAAACAAGCTTCTTTAGATCTTTCAAAATTCTTCCCTTCTCAAAAATTGGAGAAATCGGCTACTGTTGTAACAAAACAACCCCAGAAAACCTTAAAAGATGTTGACTTAAATAAATATTTTCCTAAAAGTCCTGTTCCTCAACGAAAAAATAGTGTTACAAATTGTTCGCAACCTGCTGGTGGTATACGTAGATCACAAACAGAAAAGACCATTCCAGCTCTATATAAGCCAACAATGAAAGAAAAAATGGCTCAGGCTGCAAAAACTGCTAAATTATCAAACGAATCTTTGGATACTCCATCATCACCGAAACCCAAAATTAAAGCTAAAATTAGTTGTCTTCAAAAGCCAACTGCTAAGGAAAAGTTAAATATGCAGAATGAAAAAAATCTAAATTCAGAAAAAAGCGATAATAAGTCATCGGGCAAAGTTCAACCATCTTCAAAAATACCAGAACTCGTTAAAAAACCAAAACCAAATATATTACACTATAAACCCACAATTAAAGAAATAATAGGTTCGGTTTCAAATGAAAGCCAGACAAATGAGGATTTTAATATTTTTCATAATCAACTAGATGGATCTGATGATATACTTGAAGAAGATTCAAAAAAACAAAGCTCGTCAAGTAAAAAAAGTGTTAAGACAACAACGAAAAATAATGGAAAAACCGAAAATGAATCAAGGTCATCTAAAAAGAAAACATTAAAAAATGTTCAGGAAGAAGTTCCACCATTGAAGTTGAACAAAGAAATAAAAAAAGCTGCTGAAATAAATGAAAGTGAATTGGTAGATTGTGACGACAATATTTTGAATGAAATTCTCGATAATGATAATGATAATCGTTCACCAAGTTTGGAATATCAAAGACTGTTCCAAGAAGAAAAATCACCAAGCGAAGATCTTTCCGATAAAATTGAAGCTATACTTGAAAATTCTAATATTGTTTGCAGATCTGCTAATAAAAAGAAAATTACATCAAAAGCACAAAGCTTAAGTGAAGAAGAGTTTAGAAAGAACCAAAAACTGCTCTTTAAAATAAAAGAAGAAGGAGATAGGTCTAAAATGGAGGATTCACTTAAAAGATTTGGATCACTTAACTTAGTGAAAAAAGGTAATCTTAGCAGTGATTCAAAAGAAAAATTAAGTTTAAGCAACTCATCAATACAAAAATCTACAGAATCAATTAAATCCAAAAACTCCTTGTCATCTTCTAATTCTGAAGGGTTAAGTGATTTAGAGAAAACTATGGAATATTTGAAATCTGGTTGGAAAAATGAGGCTAGTTCATTTTTACAGAAAAAACGGGATAACTTCTTTTCTAAAACAAATGATAAACCGACTACAAAAAAAGAAGAAAATAATAAAGGTATTCGAAAAAGTAAGACTGAAAATTCAAGTTTAAATAAAAATAGTAAAAATTTAAAAGCAAAAGATGAATCAATTGAAACGATTCAGAAAAAAGAGCAAAATAATGATGGCAAAAATTTGAAAAAAGATCAAAAGAAAGGTAACGACAATGATAAAAATGCTAAACCTGACAGTAGTTCAAATTTGGAAAAGAGAGAGTTGTTAAAAAGAAGATTGAGTGATTCAATTCGCCAATCGCTAACTTCCGATTTGCTAACCGAAACAGATTTCGACAATGTAAATGTAGATGAAATTTTCAATGAAATTGTTGAGGAACTGAAAACCAATTCGATCCAAACTCCTGACATTGACGAATATTTGGGAACATCAAATAGTCCAAATGTTGATAAAAAAATAAAAGACATTCTTTTTGTAAAAACGGATGAAGCGGACTCCAAACCTTCCAATAGTAGCAAAAAAATTGAAGCAGGAAAGATATTTGACGTTAATAGAGAAAACAAAACTCAAACTGATTTTAAAACAGGACAAGATTTAAACAAAACTACGCTTCGAGAAACATCTAGTAAAACAACAGATATGTCGAAATCGGAGCAACATAAAATCAGTGATATTAAGAGAAAAAGCACGGAATCCGAAAATCAAGGGAATGTTAAAAGTAAGAAGCCTGAGCAAGATAACCTAAAAGAAAAACAAAATACTAATGACAATAGTTTACCAGAGACTAAAAATATAATTCGTAAAGGCCCACCAGCGCCACCGCCACCTCCGCCCGCTCCTGCTTTACCTCTGTTAAACAAAAAAACCGATAATGAAAATGCGCCAAAGGCAATACCTTTAGCAAATATTATTCGTCAAACAGCCGGTAAAGTTACTACTAAAATGCTGCGAAAAGTACCTGCTCCCAAAATTAAACCAGTTAAATGGCTTTTTGAAAACGAGCCGTTTACATTTAATATTATTGGTAAGGAATCAACTCCAAAGAATAACGCCGAAAAGCAAAATAAAACAACAAGTTCGAATCAAGAACAAAACGATTCAAAACCCAAAGATTTAAAAGAATGCATTGAAGCAATAAGGTCCAGAAGTCCAAGCCCATCTTCTATTCCTAACTCAAAGAAAAGTTCAACCGATACTACAGATAGCATAGACAAATTATTCAGCCAGTTTCCAGATGACATGTTAGTTGATGTTGAATTTGATTCTGAGGACGAATTAGTATCTATAACTCCACTGGCTGTTATAAAAAAGGTCAATGACGAAAATGTTGATGAAACATTTGATAATCTATTCGGTGAAAGTAAAATAACTGTAAAAGACATTGATAACTTTAATGATTTATTAAAAGAGGTTTCACCTTCACTAGAAAAAGAAGAAACTTTAAAAATACAAAAGCAAAATAATAGTCTTTCGGAAACTTCAAAGATTTTAGAATTTTCGCAAACATTAAAAGAGTCAGAAATAACTGGTAATGCAAATACATCAAATTCTGTTTCTAGTGCGTGTATTAGTGGAGGTGACTTGCTGGTATCTAATAATAGCGACAGTGCAAGAACATCAGCGTCTATTCCTAGTATTTCTCCTAGCCCAGACTTACAAATACATGCTAAAGAAGTAAGTGCTAATAAAGAGATATCGAAGGTAAATTCCATTACTCCAGATGCTCCTAAAGCAATTAATAATGCGATAGTACCAAAGATTACTGCTGCTAGTATTTCTCCAAGTCCAGAAATTTCAAGAAAACCAAGTACTACTAACGCAACACCAAAGATTAATGACATTAATGCTACTAAAGAAACACCGAAAGTAAATCCCATTACTGCAGATGCTTCTAAAACAGTCGATAGTTCGTCTGCACTAAATACTCAAAATTCTGGTATATCTACCTGTCCAGTTTCAGAAAAAGCAAGTGTTACTAATACAACATCAAATATAAACGCTCTTTCTGCTACTAAGGAACTGCCGAAGACAAATTCAGTTACTTCAAATGTTCCTAAAGCAGTTAATAATTCGACAGTACTAAAATCTTCAGTTTCTAGTATTTCTCCCAGTCAAGATAGTTCAGGAAAAGAAAGTACTACTAATGCAACACCAAAGACAAATACTGCAACTGCTACTAATGAAACCACGAAGGCAAATTTTGTTACTTTAGATGCTCCCAAAGCAGTTAATAATTCGACAATAATAAAATCTCCAGCTTCTGGTGTTCCTCCTAGCCCAGATTCTTCAGGAAAAGCAAGCACTACTAATACAACACCAAAGACAAATGCCGCTACAACTGCAAAGGAAACATCGAAGTCAAATTCCGTTATTTCAGATGCGTCTAAAGTAGCTGGTAGTTCGACAGTGGTAAAATCTCCAGCTTCAAGTATTTCCCCCAGTCCAGTTTTAGAAACAGCAAATACTACTAATACAAAACCAAAGGCAAATATTGCCACTGCTGCTAAGGAAACACCGAAGCCAAATTCTGTTACTTCAAATGCTCCTAAAGCAGCTGATAGTCCGACAGCGCTAAAATCTCCAGCTTCAAGTATTTCTCCCAGTCCAGTTTTAGAAACAGCAAATACTACTAATGCAAAACCAAAGACAAATGTTGCCACAGCTGCTAAAGAAACACCGAAGCCAAATTCTGTAACTTCAAATGCTCCTAAAGCAGCTGATAGTCCGACAGTGCTAAAATCTCCAGCTTCAAGTATTTCTCCCAGTCCAGTTTTAGAAACAGCAAATACTACTAATGCAAAACCAAAGACAAATGTTGCCACTGCTGCTAAGGAAACACCGAAGCCAAATTCTGTTACTTCAAATGCTCCTAAAGCAGCTGATAGTCCGATAGTGCTAAAATCTCCAGTTTCAAGTATTTCTCCCAGTCCAGTTTCAGAAACAGCAAGTACTACTAATGCAAAACCAAAGACAAATGTTGCCACTGCTGCTAAGGAAACAACGAAGCCAAATTCTGCTGCTTCAAATGCTCCTAAAACAACTGATAATCCAAAGTCTTCAGGTTCTAGTATTTCTCCCAGTCCAGTTTCAGAGAAAGCAAGTACTACTAATGTAACACAAAAGACAAATGCCATCACTACTTCTGAACTAACTAGTAACTCCAAAACCAATTCTGACAAAGACACTGTTTCTTTTCTTGAAGACAATAATAAACCAGGAAAAACTGAAGAAACAGAAAATAAATTTCCGCAAAAACCACCTCGCAAAAATAAAACATCTTCCAGTTCTAGCCCAGATTCAAGTAATATTCTAGCTAAGGCAAAGGAAGTGGCAAAAATCACTGAAGAAATGCCGCCTTCTATACAAGATTTAATGGAAAATTATCATAAAGAAATAATTGATAATAGAAATATTATAATAATTCCTGTTGAAAATGCTCCATCACTAACATTCCCCGCTAAATTTATTGATGCTGATTTTGAAGATATTAAAGAAAATAATAAAAATTTGAATGAGAAATTAGAAAAAACAAATGGAAGCAATTTGAAAAAAGAAACTGAGGAAAAAGTTAATCAAAGATTGAAATCAGTTAAAGATTCCAAAGATACAAAACAGTTTGTTTTACAGGAAAAAAATGATAAAGACACTAAATATTCAAAACCAAGGAATTCTCTTACATCTAATGATATTTCTGCACCTTTACTGATCTCAAAAAGTTCAATAGGATCTCTAGATAATGCAGAAGTGGACAACAGAAAAGTAAGTGACAGCTTTAGACGCACATCATCTCACAATTTACAAAAATCTCCTGATGTATTGATTGATTCTAAAGATTCTACAAAAGTAATACAAAAAGAACAATTATCTCTTAATATAGATAACTTAAAAGAAACTACGACAACACTTTCAAAGGAAAAAGAAAACAAAATTATTTCAAAGCCTGAAACAAATAAAGTATTTGAAAAAATTGAAAATAAATTGAGGAGAAAATCTAATGATGTAGCTGATAAACAAAACGATGATTGGAAAATAATTGAAAAACTAGAAAAAGAAAGATTAATAGCTTTACACAAACGTGATGAAGTCTACGCAAATCAAAACCAAGATTCGTTTTATGCAACACCTTCTTCAAGATTACAAAAACAAACATCACAAGAATCGCATATATTACAACTATCACCAACAACAACTAGCACAACTGACGTACATGAATCAGCTCTGTCTAAGCCTTCCTCAGATTTGGAATTAAATCAAACATCATTACTTGAAAGAAGAACTAGTGCTTCACTATTAGATGATAAAGGTGATTCAAGTGTTACGAAAACAATGGCCCAAGAAAACAATAAACCTGAAGAATCTGAAGTTAGCTTTGATATCAAAAATCCAAAAATAGAATCTTTGAAAAAGCAAAAGTGGTTGTCATCAGACAATCTTGATAAAAAGCCTTGTTGGCCCGGTTTGGAAGATGAAGATGATATAATTGAAAATCAATTAAATAAAGCAAAAAGCTTAACTCCACATTCCAGTGAAGTGGAAATGCCAATAAAATCTAATATACCAAAATCATCTAATGATTCTTCTGTTGATAGAGGAACTCAATTACTCTTAGAAAGAAGTCAATGGCTAAGAGAAAAAAAAAGAGATTTCATGGATGAAAAGAAGGGTTGCAATAATCCTTATATAAGAAAAATGATTGATTCGGATAGGACATATCACGTAAGAAATACTTATGATGAAAGCGATAATGATGAAGATCTAATGGAATCGTATCGCCCTACACCACGTAAATATTTTCCAACTTCGTCAACGACAAGATCTTCAAGCAGCGGACGACGTTATAATACTAGCACATATATACCAAATAGTACTAGTACATACACAACTTCCGCTTATAATCCTACTTCAACTAGTTATATGCCAAGTACAAGTGGATACAATGCCACCAGTTCTTATTATTATCCTAGTTCTAGTACTTATTATAACAGTGGTGAAGATTATCATACTTCTAGATTACCAAATTACAGTAATTCCCGATATACAAGTCCATATAGTAGTTCGACTGGTTATAGTAATTCACGATCGTATAATGATTATTCTAAACGTAGTCCGTCCAACACAAAAGACTCTTGTCGACTTTCATAAAACTTAATTCGTTAACAATAATAAATAAACAACAGAACAAAATAATCAGATGTTGTAGTTTTACATTTAAGTTTTCATCTTTCCAAAAATGTAATTTAATTTCCAAAAATCGTTAATTATTTTTTATTGGTATTAAATCTAATTTTTTTAAAGTCCTCTTTATTTAAATAAATAGAGTCAAATATAATTATAGTTTATTAATAATGTTTATAGTTGTAATAATAAAAATAATAATAACTAATAAGAATAATAATAATGACAATAATAGTAATAACAATAAAAATAAAAAATATAATAAAAATAATAATAATTAATAAGAATAATAATAATGACAATAATAGTAATAACAATAAAAATAAAAAATATAATAAAAATAATAATAATAAATAAAATAATAATGATAATAATAATTACATTAATATCAATTGTAATAAATATTAGAAAAAGCTTTTATTTTGAGAACATTGGGTACGATCTTTTAAAGGTAAATAAATATAAAAAAAATCAAGTGGTTCTCCCTTTTTTTTGTGGTGTGAATTTTTTTCCAAAAATAAAAGCGTTTCATTGTTAATCTGATAAATTTATTATTAATGTTAATATTTATATTAATATAAATGTCGCCAAACTAAAATTATTCGCAAATAACCTATAGTTTGTAAATTTTTGCGTTGAAATGTTTACTAAAATTATAATAAAACCTTTTTCGGATCGTACCCGAAAATTTGGTATGCAACTTAAACAAAATATCAATGTACTTTGAAAGCTTAAAATTTTTAAAGATACTTATAGATCTTTAAATTAATTATGCTTTAAAATTTTTTATTAAGTTGCTTAATTTTGTTTTTCTAAAGTGTTGTCCTGATTTTTTTTTGTCAATTTGGAATTTTGTGTTTTTCACAAGAACATTTAAACCTAGATAAGTTCTATATTTGAAATTTATCTTGTAATTTTTTTTTGTGATTCACAATATAAAATTAATTATATGTAATATGAATCATATATAAAAACATTAGTTATATATGATTCATATTATAAGTTTAATTAAATGTATGTATGTATTTTTTATTTTTTACCAATTGATTTTTTTCATTATGTTACAATTAAAAGTGGAAGAAATTACAAAAAATATGTCGCATATGATCATAATATTTGTCAGAGTAAATTTTGTGGACCGACATAATCTTTTAAGATAGGACAAGCATACAATTTCAGCTTTGTGCTTTTAACATTTTTCGATATTATTGCTAAACATTTTTCTTAAGCAGACTCTTTAATATACTAATAAATTAAAGTATACTAACATTTTAAATATTTGTGTAACCTGTTTTATATCAATATAGTTGATTTCATGTTGATATTGTCTCTTCCCATATTTTTCAATATACATAAATAATATTGAATAACAATTATTTTTTATATTTACATTTAAGGTACAAAGTGAAACAGAATCATCTTCATCGGATGACAATGTACTCAATTCTGCGACTGAAATTTCTACTGATTCTGAATTTGATCATGATCCTGTAATAAGAGAAACTCCAAAAATTTTTATAGATGATACGCATTTACGTAAACCAACAAAAGTTCAGGTTAGTACAGCAACTATTAATAAAAAATAATATATATTCACTGACTACATTAACTTGTATATAATATAATTCATTTTTAGATTAAATCAATTGTGATAGATAATGGTATGCCAGGTAGCCAGCCTAAGTTGCGTACTGTAACAAATACACATGCAACTACAACAGCCCTCCAAACAGCTTTATCACATCAAAAACTAGAATTTAAACCTTTGGTGCAAGTTGATCCATCTTTACTAAATTCGAATAGAGTCCCTTTAAAAAATCCACGTCCTGGTGACTATTTACTTAATAAAACAGCTAGCACAGAAGGTATTGCGTCGAAAAAGAGTTTAGAGTTGAAAAAACGCTACTTATTAGGAGGTGAAGATATTTTAGGGAACAAAATAATGAAATCTGGTTCTACTTCAGTATTAGATTCTAAATTAAAAAATTTTCATTCAAATATATCAGAATGTCAGAAACTTTTAAATCCAGCCGCTGAAATCAGTCCTGGCATGAAAACTTTTTTGGACCGAACAAAACTTGTAAATTCAAATGAAAAACTTGGAAATATCTTACAAAGTGATATAGTAAACAAAAGCAATACAAAAAGTGACTTAACCTCAAAATCCGAACAAAAATTGCCTGAAAGTAATTTACCACAAAATGATTTTGTTATGAATCAAAATGAAATTAATAAAATGGAAACAACGAAAAAACAACATGAATTTAAAACAAATACTCCAGTTAAAATTCCATCGCCAATTATAGAAACTATTGATTTGATATCACCAGAGAAAACAGTTCCTATTATTGATTTGAATGAAAGTAATATACCGTCCGCCTTGAATGTATCTAGTCCAGAAATCTTTAATGCCAGAAATAGTCTTGATGGTCAAAAATTATTGCTAACAACAATTGAAGTGATTGATCTTACGAAAGCGTCTTCAGATGAAAATGAACCATGTTCAATTATAAGAAATACTCCACTTCCTTCATCCAATGAAACTAAAAATGTAATTCCTGATATTCTTACACATACGGAAAAATATAAAACTGATTCTGAAAGAAGTGCTAATACCGAAGAAAATAAAATTGTTACTACAAATGTTTCAAAAAGAGAGGAAACTAACGATGACTGTCAGGAAACAAGCATTGAAGTGCCAAGTATTCCATGGGCAAAAAAATCCGATAAAGACGAAGAATGTGATAATGTTGAAACTGATAGTCTTACTAGTGAAAGTTCTTCTACTTCTAGTTTAAATGATATACCTCATTATATTTTAGATTCGACAACAAGTCCTGATACTCAAAATGGTTTTAATTTATTTAGTAACAGTTCAGCTGCTGAACCTATAGTTCCAAGACTAGAAATACATGATAGTTCTGGAACGTTGATGCAAATAGATAGCTTAATGATTATTGACGGTCAATATATCGGAGATCCAGAAGATTTAAAATTAATGGAAATACCTGAAGGAATGACTACGAGTACAAGTACCATAACAGCTGATACTATCATAGAAAATAGTTCAAGCTCTCAAAGTAAATCTTCAGAAAAAGACGATGTAGAGAATAAAACAGCTCATAAAGATTCGAGTGAAATTAACGAAACCTTCCTAACAAAAGATGCAACTAACCCAAAGGCCGTTAAACCTGAAAAGAAAATTGAGTTAAAGTTTGATACAAAAAATGAAAATAAAGTTGAGTCTTTGAAAAATCTTCCATTAGTATTAGAAGCTTCTGATGCGAAATTAGTCAAGGAAAGGCCAGTCAAACCAAACACTCTAGAAATAGGGAAGCCTGTAATGTCGTCCTCTATCATATCGCCATTAAAAAGCGTTGATAACGATAAAACTCCTGTAGCATCCGAAAAAAACATTACACCTATAACAGAAAATCCCGTATCAGATTCTGAAACCGAAGTGACTGGTCAAGTTCTAACTGAAACAGAATTATCAGATTGGACTGCAGATGATGCAGTTTCTGAAAATTTCGTTGATATAGAATTCGTTCTTAATTCAAATAAAGGAACTATCAGGCGAAATAAAAAAGGGTCAAAAAAGAAACCTTCTGGTCCAAATAGTTTTAGTAGTTCCATTTTTAAAGCAAATAGATTGGCATCATTAGCAACATCTGAAACCCCTACAAAGGAATGCGGTGGAATTTTGGAAAATTTAGCTATTGGAGAAATCGATTTTATGGATACAGGATCCGAAGGAAGTTGTGCAGAAGCATATTCTGCAACAAACCGTGCATTAATCCAAAATCATGGTTATATAGAATTCATTGAAAATGATGCTGTCACACCCACTTTAACAAGCCCGTACCATCAGGACAACAAAAATTCTATCAATAAAAATAATTACCATAATAGCGTAACGAATGTTTACAAAAGATCGAATTCTAATAAAGAAATACCCGGTATTGATTATATAGAGCAAGGTGCTTGTATTTTAGGAAGTAACAAAACGGCGCAAGATTTTGATTTAAAAACTCCAGTAAACGAGACTATAGTATCTATATTTGGTAATGGGAAACCTGCAAAACAGCATATATGTGGCACTGATAGTACAAATGAAATAGATGACGACAGTTTAGCAATGATAACTTCACAAGGAACAACGAATACTACAACTGAAGAAAGTGATTGCTTAACAGTAGTAACGTCTCCTTTAGACTCATCTTCTCCACGCACTCAGGACAATTTGGGAGCGACATCCACTACCTCAACATCAGGTACACCATTTGAACAGCTTGAAAAGGTTATGAGTGTTGGAGGATCTAGCTCTAACTCAAGTAAACCTATTTCGGGATTGCATAGTGCTGAACAACCTAATGTCAAAAGAAAGTCATCTCAAGAAGACTCTCAAAATTCAAACAAACGTAAAGACTCCGAAGAAATAAGTTATGAAGAATATGTTAGAAAACTTCAACAAAAAATAACTCAAATTAGTAATGCTCGAGATTCCATAGATGTTAAAAAACACAAAAGAAAAACATCGCGTGGTGAAAGTATTGGTAGCGGTGGGGATCCAATGCCAGCGGAGAAGCATTTAATTGAAAATAAAACGCTAGATAGCTTTGATGCAGCTGCAACGGTTCAGAAATCTAATAATCAACCAATATTTAGTAATCTAAATTTGTTGGGGGCTCAAGCGGAGCCACTTAAATATACAAAAGTGCCAGAAGTCTCCACTTTGTCTAGTAAACTGGAAGAAATTACCAAAGAAAGAACAAAACAAAAAGATTTAATTCATGATCTAGTGATGGACAAATTACAAAGCAAAAAGCAGTTAAACGCTGAAAAGCGTTTGAATAGAAACCGAAATCGGAATATGATGAACTCAAATAATAGTAGTACAGGTTCTACTAATACAACAGGCAATAGCTTGTCCTTATCATCATCAAAATCTATAACTGGAACACATTCAAATAGCAAAGCAGGGGAAATTTGTGCGGACGTTGGAAAAGAAAATATAGATGTAAAAGTTTCCACTTCCATTAATGATAGCAAAGATATAACAAAGGTGTCGACGAATTTAAATAATCAACAAACAAATATTCGTAGACAAAGACCTTTGAGTGATAATTTAGAAAAAACTTCTTTTGATTTACAAGTTCAAAATTCTGCCAATAGATTAAATTTAGTTTCTAAAAAGAATTCTGTAGAATCTTTAATAGATTCC